AACAATTGGCCAGGTGTGGTGGCAGGTGCCTGTAGTCCGAGCTACTCCAGAGGCTGAGGCAGGAGGATCCCTAGAACTCAAGAATTTGAGGTTGCTGTGAGCTACAATGACACCATGGCACTCTATCCAGGGTGACAGAGTGAGACTCTGCCTAAAAATAAATAAATAAATAAATAATAAGATAAAATATTGCCAACTTGGTAGGGTGTTCAATGCCTTAGACCCAGTGTGATTTGCTTGTGCAGAACAATGCACAGTCCTTGCACAGCTATTACACAGCTCCCTTTGGGGGAATCCAGAGGAAGCACATAGAACCATACCCTCTTTGTCCGGTTAACTCACCGCCTCCTTGAAAAGTATGATTTTAAAAGTCATGGGAGATGATGTTGTTACTAAACACGCAAGAACATTCGTGTCCCCAGGTGGCCGCCCTTCATAGGTGCAGGTCAGGGTCAGGAGAAGGCACGACTATTGCTCAAGATATAAATGGTACTTAAAGTGGGACTTTGGAAAGTCTAGTTTTTGATCATTAGACATACAAGACACACACACTTTTTTTTTTTTTAGCTCACAGCAACCCCAAACTCCTAGGCTTAAGTGATCCTCCTGCCTCAGCCTCCCTAGTAACTGGGACTACAGGTGCTGCCACCACACCCAGCTAGTTTTTATATTTTTAGTAGAGATGGAGTCTCCCTCTTGCTGAGGCTGGTCTTGAACTCCTGAGCTCAAGGGATACTCCCCCCTCAGCCTCCCAGAGTACTGGGATTACAGGTGTGAGCCACTCTGTCTGGCCATGTTTTCTTTTAAATAAAGCAATGAATAAATGAGTGAATAAAAGTATAACACAAGATACCACTATTCAGTTCTTGGGGACAGCCCTGGTAGTTTCCCTCATTTGATACTTTTCCTGTTTCTATAATCACAATCTCTACCATCTCTAGAATGAGAAATAAGACATTTTAAAGACATCCAGGCTGAGACACCAGAATTTGCAGCCCAGATATGACAGGCGCTGCGATGCTGAGACATGGGTGGGTTGTGCTTGGAAGCTAAGCCAGTTAACAGGCAAGGGGTCTCTCATAATGGAACAGAGTGGCCCCGAAGTTCCTGGCAAATGGCCTTGATGTGCACAGGCTACATTCAGTGTTCATTTGGTTTTTTTTTTGTATGTCCTATGACGCACTTGGCCAACTGTCCTGGCCATCAGCCCAGGTTGAGAGGTCAGGGCGGGGTGCAGGTGAATGCAGGCACCATGTGGGCGTTGACTTGGGGACCTGACAATCAGCACCCCAGCTGTACTCCAGAGTTCCTAGAAGCTGCCTCCTGCCCAGCCAGCCGCACACGCCAAGGAAGGCACGGCTTGGTCAGTGAGCAGTGAAATTCTGGGAAAAGTCAGGCCCTCTGTGTTCTTCCCCCTTTTCTGACCCACAGGGACTACCAGTTCCCTGGGGTTCTCTCACTGTGCTCAACCTGCTCTCTGTGTGATTTGGAAAGGGCTGCCGAGCCATGCCTGGTGACTCTGAGGGAAGACCAGACTGCCTCCGGGCATGTGCAGCTATTTAGCTCCTGGGCTGCTCCTGTGTGCCTCTCTACTTCTTGGGGATTTTACAGTCTGTCCTCCAGGTGCTTGAGATGAGAAATAGACTTTCCTCCTTGAAGATTTCATGATTTCTCCCCTTGGGCTGTTCGTTCAAACTCCCAGAGGAGCAGGAACATCACGTTGTATTCTCAAAGAAGTGACATGGTAACCAGATGATGAAAATGGGACACAGACTGTTTTGGCCCGAGATTGTGAAGGTGGCACTCAGCAGGCGCCTGTGGGGAAGGAGGAGGGTATGAACAGAGGCCCTCGAAGAAGAGGGAATTGTGCTGGAGTGGGGGCCTGAGTATAAACTGAAGGGTAAGAAGGCCAGGTTTGAAAGTGTGGAGGTGTCGCTGTGTGCCCCCACCCAGAGAAGAAAAGGTCCTCATGGGCCAAAAGGACAATGGAGTCTTCAGGCAGAACCTCAGTAGTTACCCTGTTACATTGTAATTCCACCTGAGCTTTTCTTCAAAAGCTTTTCAAAAAGTGTGCTGAAATAGGCCAGCCCCAGTGGCTCACACCTGTAATCCCAGCACTCTGGGAGACAGAGAAAGGTGGAGCTCAGGAATTCAAGACCAGCCCGAGCAAGAGAAAGACCCTGTCTCAACTAAAAATAGAAAAACCGGCCAGAGTGGTGGCAAGCAATAATAGTCCCAGCTACTTGGGAGGCTGAAGTAAGAGAATTGCTTCAGCCCAAGAATTTGAGATTGCTATAAGCTGTGATGACACCATGACATTCTAGCCTGGGCAATAGAGTGAGATTCTGTCTCAATAACAACAACAAAAAATGTGCTAAAATATACATAAGATTTTAACATCTTAACCATTTTCAAGTGTACAATTCAGTGGCATTAAGCGCATTCACCACGTTGTGCAACCATCGCCACTATCCATTTCCAGAACTTTTTCATCATCCCAAACAGAAACTCTGCACCCATTAAGCAATAACTCCCCACCTCATCCCACTCCAGACTCCAGACACCTCTGCTCTACTTTCTGTCTCTGTGACAGCTATCTTATATAAATGCAATCAGACAGTATTTGTCCTTTTGTAATGTGGCTCATCTCACTTAACACGTTTTTGAGGTTCATCTATGGTGTAGTGTATATCAGCATTTCATTCCTTTTAAAGGCTGAGAAATATTGCAATGTGTGTAGATAGCCCATGAATGGATAGCTAATCCATTCATCTGTTGCGGAGATTTAGGTTGTTTGCCCCATTTTGCTGTTGTGAAGGATGCTGATGTGATCACTGAAGGACAAGTCATTGTGATTTCCTTGTGCCAGAGAGGAGAGTAGGCCAGTCCAACCCTGGGCCACTACCCAGCACCTCTTCCCAGTTTTCAATGGAGACAACCACAACTCAGAGTCCCCCAGCAGCACTGGCAAAGTGGGAGCCAGTGACTGCAGAGGGACATTCCAGGAGAGAAAGTGTAACCAACCTTCCAATGACCTCTCCATGCAAGAGGAGGCTGGATGAGAAGGGTTGGCAGGGAGAGTGGGGTGTGTGTGCTACATCTATTTGGTGATTGCACTTATGGTACACAGAAAAGGGTCTGGGGTCTGGAAAGATATGAATCAAAGGGTTTACATTACTTATTTTGGAAGATGGAGTTATTGGTGATATTTGTTTTCTATTAAAAGTTTTGTATTTGATATTTACTTTCATATCAGATAAATATAGAACTACTATATTCATTTTTTAAAATCAAGGTCAAACCAAACACGCACTCCCTCTAGCCACTGATTTACGATATGTGAAAGCAAATCCATCCTCAGCAGCTCCCAAAGAGGATCCAGCAGGTGTTTCCTTCAGACGCGGGGCGGAGTCTTAGCAACTGACTGGAAACTGCAGACAACTGAAATGGTCAAGAGCATGAGATGACTGGGGAATCGTGGTCCACTCATACTGGATTTTACCAATAATGCCCTTAGAAATGAGCAAAAATCTCATTATAGAATGTTGAATCCAAAAATGATATAGTTTGAATGCAAAAAAACAGATGAAAACACACACACTTAAGTGTATGGTGTATGTGTGTGCGTGTATATATTATTTTATGTATATGTATAAATACATGAGGGACAGAAATATATTAAGTATAGTTTGCCTTTGGGAGATGGGATGAGGAATGATTTTTGTCTTTTCTGAATTTTTCATGAGTTTTTTTCTTTTTTTTACTGTAAGCATACATTGTCTGCGTATCAGAAAAAAGGACTAGTGAAGTACCTGAGAGCTGAATGCACGTATGTATGTCCATAGCCAGCATCACTCCATCTAGCTGGAGAACCCCAAATCCTCCTTTTACCCTTGGCCTTGGTTTGGAGCCCATGTCAGGACTGTGAGGGGCCCATAGAAGAGCCGAAAGGAGTCTTCAAAAAGCCTCTACTCCCTAAATCCTCTGCCCACCCAGTGCCAGGAAGGAGAGGGGGACAGACTCTTGTTACCATGTTTTGAAGGAGTGGCTATGCAAATATATGTGGTGAAAAATTCTCCTATTATTAAAATGTTCTAAACAGGCTTTCATGTGTTTAGTCTATTTTCTAGATAATCCCCTCTCTGCCCCATCCAGACAAAAAGAAGACATTTGCCGTTTTTTGTGTTAGTGGTAATTCTGTTGGTGAAGCTGAATCCTATTGGCTGGCCACAAAGGGAAACCAATTCAAGACCTTTGTGTCCTACAGTTCCTGTCCAGGGAGCTTGCACAGAAAGGCAGTCACCACAGTCTAGAAAGAGACCACAGCATTCCCCATTTAGCTACCAGTTCCTTTGGATTAAGAAATATAATGAGGGCCAGGCACAGTGGCTCATACCTATAATCCTAGTACTTAGGGAGGCCAAGGTGGGAGGAACCCTTGAGTTTGGAGTTTGAGACCAGCCTGTGCAAAGTCGAGACTCCATCTCTACTAAAAATAGAAAAACTAGCTAGGCATGGTGGAAGGCACCTATAGTCCTAGCTACTTGGGAAACTGAAGCAAGGGGATTACTTAAGCCTGTGCGTTCAAGGTTGCTGTGAGCCAGGCTGAGGGCATGGGGCACTACCCAGGGGGACAGAGTGAGAATCCATCTCAAGGAAAAAAAGCAGAGGAAACATCATGGGGCAGACAGGCCAGTGAACTGCCATATTCTCCTCTTGGGACTCAATATTTCATTTTACTGTATTTGCTTCTGTGTATTGTACTTCACCAGAAGAGGTGGCATATTAGCATTTAGAGTTTTTGTTTGCTTTTATTTCTTGAATGCATGAGTTTTAACACAATCAAAATTCATACTGTAATAAGATTTAAAAAAGAAATTGTGGGACGGCCTTTTTGGAAACAAGTACGGAGATTCCTCAAAGAACTCAAAATAGATCTTCCATTTGATCCCACAATCTAATTACTTGACATCTACCCAGAAGAAAAAAAATCATTTTAGATCCTTTTGTAGTTCATAAGCATGATGATTGGGTTTTCATGTGCATACGTAAAATGTGCCACCCACAAATCTTGTTACAATGTTGGCACATTACCCGTCTGACATGAAGAAAAGAGAAGAAATCATTTTATCATAAAGATATTTACCCTAGATTGTTTACTGAAGCTCAATTTACAATCACCAAGACATGGAAACAACCTAAATGCTTATCAACTCAGGAATGGATTAACAAACTGTAGTATATGTACACCCTGGAATAATATTCAGCCATAAAAAGATGGTGGCTTCACATGTTTTGTGTTAACCTGAATGGAGCTGAAACACGTTCTCCTTAGTAAAGTATCACAAGAATGGAAAACCAAATATCTAACGTTTCAATACTAATAGGAAGCCAGTAGTGAGCGAATACATGCCCACATGAAAGAAAAACTCAATTCAATTCAAGTTGGGGGGAGGAGGAAAGAGGGAGGTGGGCAAGGGAAGGGGGATTGGTGAGCTCCCACCTAATGGACACAATAGAAGGGCACATGGTACACCTTTTGGGGGCAGGACACAGCTACAAGAGGGAATCTACCGAACAAATGCAAATATTATAATTTAGTTGTTTGTACCCTTGTATTAATCTGAAATTTAAAAAAAAAGAAAAAAATAAAGAAATCAGGAAAAAAGGAAAAAGACAGGCAGAAGAAGAAGAGGCCAGGTGGGGAAATCGGTGCCCAGACTGTATTCAGTAAGCCCCACAGAGCTACAGGGGCTGAGTGGGAACCGCAGCTGGGGGCTTCCTGGTGGTTAAGGGAGGTGCCCCACGGAGAGTCGCCTTAGAGCTGATTCAGTGAGGAGAGGGCCACCAAAGGACACTCTAGCTTGATGGGCTCTAATGTTTGCTAACAGTGTCAACAAATAATTGAAAGCTCATCTAGATCAACAACTGCCATGTGCAGGCACAACCTCCTGGGTGGCCACAGAGGGCAGAGACATGTTAGGGCTGTCACAGTCGCTGCGGCTGTCTTCCAAGAACGTGTGGAATGACTGCAGGAACTGAATGGTGCCCAGAGAATAAAGAATTGGGTATGGGACTTGAGAAGCCCCTGTCCAACTTTATGAAATCTAGGTTTTATTCCAAAATATTGGCAAAATTCCTTAGCCCGACATTCAAGGCCACCACAAGCCAATGCCAACAAATGTCCCCAGGCTCAGCTACACTTCCCCGAGCACCTGTCCTTGCAGGGGACACGCCGGCCTCAGGCCTTCCCCAGCCTGCCTTTGCCGTTTCTCCCTCCTCTTTGTACAACTCTTTCATTTCACCTAGAATGATCTTTCCTCTTGGGCCTTGGGGAAGCCCTACCTAGAAAATAATGTATTTTACTGATAGGAAAACTAGAGTCCTTTGCGGGGCAACTGATTTCTTTCTCTTGTGTTTCCATTTCCTCTTCTAGGACAGAGAGCTGCGCTGAATTCCCGCCTCCTTTGAAGTTAAGTGTAGCCATGTGTCTGGCTTCTAGCCAGTAGAATATGAAATGAAAGGGAGAAAATGACTCATCTCCCACGTGACATGGCCCTACCATCTCTCAGTGTGATTCAGCCACATGTTGAAGAGAGAAAAACTAAAACGTGGAAAGAGAAGGGCCCCCAAACACCACTTAGAGGCAAGCTGCCCACCTATCAGGAGTTTCCTTCACACATTTGGGAGTGTGTGTGATATAGCAGGTACCTTAACTAACACCCTAAGAGGAAAGCTACTTATTTTGCAAACTGGTTCAGTTGCCTTGGCAAGTCCTTTGGAACACATCTATTTAAGATTCGTATATCAGCCAGGCACGGTGGCTCTTGCCTGTAATCCCAGCAGTCTGGGAAGCCCAGGTGGGTGGATCCCTTGAGCTCAGGACCAGCCTCACAAGAGCTATTAAAAATAGGAAAACTAGCCAGGCATGATGGTGGGCACCTGTAGTCCCAGCTAGTCGGGAGGCTGAGAAAGGAGGATCGCTTGAGCCTAGGAGTTTGAGGTTGCTGTGAACTATGATGCCATGGGATTCTACCCAGGGTGACAGAGAGAGATCCTGTCTTCAAAAATAAAATTAAAAAATGGCTCAGCGCCTGTGGCTCAAGTGGTTAAGGTGCCAGCGACATACACCTAAGGTGGTAGGTTCAAATCCAGCCCGGGCCCACCAAAACAACAATGATGGCTGCAACCAAAAAAAAAAAAAAAAAATAGCCGGGCATTGTGGCAGGCACCTGTGGTCCCATCTACTTGGGGGGCTGAGGCAGGAGACTCACTTGATCCCAGGAGTTGGAGGTTGCTATGAGCTGTAATGACACGGCACTATACCCAGGGGGATAGCTTGAGGCTCTGTCTCAAAAAAAAAAAAAATGGATAAAATAAAAGTCTTATATCCCCAGAAAGCCCAGCATACAGCCACAGGCATCCTGAGCCTTCATCATTGCTGAGTGATCTCATCAGCTCCTGATGGATGAAACTGGGTCTTTGCTGTTTGTATTGATGAGTACTTATAGGCGTCTGTGCTATTGGTCACTTTTCATAAAGGTTCTTTTCTTTTCTTTCTTTCTTTCTTTTTTTTTTTTTTTGTTGAGACAGCCTCTGAGTAGCTGGGACTACAGGCACCTACCACTACACCTGACTAGGTTTTCTATTTTTAGTAGAGATGGATCCCACTTTTGTTCAGGCTTGTCTCAAAATCCTGAGCTTAAGTGATCTATGATCTACCCACCTTGGCCTCCCAGAGTGGTAGGGTTACAGGTGTGAGCCACCATGCCCAGCTCCATAAAGGTTCTTGATATCATAGAGAGTGGAGATCCAGGATACTCATAAAGAGTGGAGATCTAGGAGAAAGAAATAAAAGAAATATGTCCCAAATCCATTTCAAATTTCTTTGAGAGATAAGACCCTTTCTGATCCTGCAGGCTGTTGGCTTCAGTAGAACCAAGGCAGGATCATGAACTGGGAGGAGACTTGGGGTCTCGTAGCTTGACTCTACCAGAAAGAGTGAGATTTCCCTGCCTGTAAAATGAAGTCGGTGGTTCCTAAATAAAATGTGGACTAATGTCAAATTATTATAATGCTACCTAGCATTAGATCATTTACCTTTATGTTCCCTGCATGATTTTGATACAAAAAAACGGATCTGCGAACCGATTGGGAGAACTTATTCTGTCAGTCTATCTTTTTAACATAGAAACATAAACTTGATGGAAGTGTTTTGGATTGTGTGTGAAAACCCCACACTGTACCCTAGAAGTGCATTAATGTACATAGTTACCATTCAATAAAAAAATAAATAAATAAAACTCAAAAAAAAAAAAAAGAAAGAAAGAAAAGAAACATAAACTTACTTTGCTGACCAGAGACCGTGAAAACCTAGTACTAGAAAGAGATATAGAATTGAATAATCCATCTCTATGGGGTGTGAAAAATGAGACACCATTAGCCAGGCCAAAGATGACATGGAAAAATAAACATGTCTTAAGACGATTTGGTGTAGGAAATATTTTCTTTGACGGGATATTAGAGAATTTGTCAAGCCATATTAAACAGAGAAGTCAAAGGTTCCATGACAGGAACTCAAAAAATATTTGTTGATTAACCGGTTAATGAGCTAATTCAAACAGAGCAGGAATTTTATCTCTGTTTTCAAGTCAGAATTTATGATTGCCCATTCAAGATAAATATGTGCCCTGTGTTCAGCTAAGCAACCTAAACTGTCTATTCCATTATTCCCACCAAACACCAAAAAGAATTTAATGTATCCTTTGGCAACCAAAGATAAAACTCCCATGTCAAGCTTCTTGCTGGCCGATATTAAGAGTTATTTTTAGTTTTTAAAAAATATTACAGGATTCATGCACTGCACTTAGGGACAAAGTAGGTTTAAATTCTGGTCCCCCAGAAATTTCAGTCAGACTTCCTTGTTCTTGGAGAGTGGCTTTGTTTCCTGCCCTGGGTGTTTATATGCTTCTGAGTGAAACCAAAGGATGACAATGCACAGCTTTTGAAACTAGAAAGGATCCAAAGTCCTTTCAAAAGCGCAGCGATCAGAAGAACTATTGATTCCAAAATTGAGCAATTTCCAGTGGTACCAAAGAATCCGTGTATTATAGTAATTAGAATATGTCTTCTATTCAACACATTCCAAATTACTTTCTATTCAAACATATTCAAAATGTACTTATTCAACATAATCAAAATGTTCATCCTTCAAAAAGTACTTCCCTACTGGGTGGCGCCTGTGGATCAAAGGAGTAAGGTGCCAGCTTCATATGCCAGAGGGGGCCAGTTCAAACCCAGCCCTGGCCAAAACCTGAAGAAAAAAAAAAAGTACTTCCCTATTACCCAGTGTGCCTCCCGTACAAAATCAGTTGTTCTCACCTTCATTCCATAGAGGTGGAGGTCGTTTGAATGCTATTTGCTGTGGTAAGGTGCTGTACTTTGAATAGTACACTCGCATTTGATGTAAATTTGAATTATACACATTTTAAAAAGTAGTAATAAAATATCACTGGATTATCACTGGATGGGCAATATTTGAAATAGTGCAAATTCCTCCAAATTTGTATGATCTGTCCAGAACCGCATGTCAAAGCCAGAGCTCAGACTGAGTGAAATTTACACCACATTTAGTCACTTGTCTGGTGACCACCCCACCTTGGAAATAAACAGAAACCCGCTGTAGGCTTTGGTCAGTTTCACAAGGAAGCACACCCAAATCAGAAGCAGAGGTTTTTGTGAGTGTTTAGTGCCATTTGTTTTAACACTTACACTAATTTAACAGCTTTTGTTCTCTATGACAGTATCCTCTAAGCTTTTATAAAGTGATAGCACTGGAAATGTGCTATAAATTACAGTCGCCCCTTGGTGTCCACAGGGATTGCTGGCAGAACCCTTATAGATACCAAAATCCAAGATGCCCAAGTCCCTGGTATGACAATTAAGTTCATGAACTCAATGAGGTGTGTGGACAAACTGCTACATACCTCGTTGCTGAATACCACTACAATCACTTCAAAGTCCTTCCCTTGGGAAACTCTGCACCAACACCAGCACCTAGTCCACTCTTCAAAGCAATTTTGGAATGCTTTTCTGGAATGGCCA